TTTGAATATTGAGAGCGGTAACTCGCTATTTGATTTCCAAGTCTTTTCTAATGTTTCGAAATTTTCGTCCAAGTAGCCCTTTAACAGCGGGTTCTTCAAGTTATGATGAACATTHTAAAGGCAGTCTAGCGTTAAATAAAAAATTATTCAACCTCTTGGGCAGTTCAACCACAATTTTCTTGAATCAACAATTGACTTATCTGCCCAAGCGATTCATTAAGAATATTCATGAGATCTATCCAACRTCTTCATTAGGGATTTGCTACAAAAATTAATTTGGAGTAAGAACTGTTGACTACGTTTGAACTTCTAAAATCTGGTGGCCGAATTGAAAACAGTGAGCTTGGTATATATTATTATTTTGCCGGTTTGAAACAAGTATTAACAATAGGAATTTAAAATCATAAAAAATTTAGTAGACCATTATAAGCGCTTTAGAATATCAGACGGCTAAAATCCTACCTCTGAAGTAAAGAAGAAAACAAAACAGAAGAAAAATCACTAAGCAAAAACAAAGAAGCAACCAATGCCAAAAATAGTACTGTCTTTTTCAAAAAGTTATTTGAAGAATCGATGAAAAAAAAAAAAAAAAAATTAAAGGGAAAATTGTTTTATTGTTGATTGGGTATGAAAGAAACCTAAAATCATCTTTCTCTAAAGAATGGCAAAAATATAATATTAATAATCATGAGTAATAATTAACTTTACCTAAAAAATAAACTAAATAAGACTTCTTTTGAAGCAATATCAGTCCATAAATCATTCTAGCTTCCAATGCTATTGGTTCATTTAAAAGAAGTTTAAAAATTAATAGTTATTAATGACTTTTCCCAGTACGGAACCTCCACCTGACCACTGCTGCCAGTCAAATTCATTTTGGTACAGATAAATGATGCTTCAAATAATAACTATTTTGAAAATGTTGGTATGCCTGTTTATTATCTTGAACTTCGGCACAGTTAGTAGGGGAAGTGAAGGTATGTACAAAATCGATTGTATCAGTTTCTTATATAATTTATAAAAGTAGATAAAACGTAAGAGAGTGTAGCTACTATTTCCTTGGCGTTTCACCTAAAAACATGTCATGAATATATTAAGTTAACACGAGAAAAGTAAGCCTCGAGTAAGCCGATAAAAATCCGAATTTACAGGTTATGAATTATTGTCCTTCTTGATGCAGTCTCGAGACTCACACAGCTTTTACTTCATCAATTTGGTTCTTTATTCAAATGCTGAAACTAGTTATTTATGAGGTAAGGATTAATGTACTACATAATGGCATTTTCGGTCCTTCATCAACGAATCTCAAATTCTAACATAGTAGTATTCAAATAATGATAGAAGACTTGAAATGCTAATAACGAAAAGAAATGGAGTTAGATATGTTGGACCCCTGCAGTTGGAGACTTTTCTTCAATTTCATTGTAAATGAGCTGGACTCTGCACTACATGCTTTTCATAATTTAATTCTCTTAGGAGTAGACCTAATATCAATAGCTTTAATAGACCTATGCAGCTTTTACGTCATGTTACCGTATACGCAATGCATTGTAGGACATGTTTGGGACAAAACATGGCGGATTTCTTTTGTTTTCTCTTGAAACTGATCGCACAACGCATTGAAAATCAAGTAGTGACGTAAAAGGTTCAGAAGTCTATAGGCAAATAATCTCATCACTGTCCAATCGGTGCACATCAGCACTCACCTCCTCCAACCCCCCATAAAACTCCCTAGCTACGGGCATTTCATTTGCGTTGCTACCCAATGCAAATCCTGTGTGCGAGAAAAATTCAACGAAGCATCAAGCTTACTCATTGGTTGTYTGAATTGAGTAGAAGCATTTCTGAAACGCAGCTACCAATCCAAGCTAGGTGACAAACCCCCAAGACCTTAATTTTACCGTTTAATGCTTTAGAGTACAAACACTAAAACTGTGCAACATAAATACCACTAAATACTGCTAAATTATGCTAATTCTATTGTATCCTATTGTTTAATTAACACTATTTTGTCGTGGAAATCGTTGCACACATTTAATGTTTGTACTCTAACATCCTGCGCATCAAATGCGACGTCTCCTCCTCAGACGACCTGCATCCCTGAAGAAAATCCTGCCGGTTCAAACTCTGCAACCGTTCAGGGATTTACCTCATATTCTTACAATTGTAGAGTACGACTCTCTGGGATGCTATAAAGACAAAAGRAACAGAGCATTGTCAGAGTTATACCGTGATGCAAGATCACTGGAAAAATGTGCAGATGTTGCAAGAAAAAAGGGATTCCTAGTGTTTGCAATCGAATATGGTAGCGAGTGTTTTAGCGGTCCAGATGCGGAGCTATATTATAATAAATATGGTCCYGCGACGAATTGCCGAAATGGGCGTGGCGGCACCTGGTCCTTTAATGCATATCGCTTTAAAAGAGAACGTGAGTGAGGCGGGTTTGTAGTACGTATTCCATATATGGCACAAACTAACAAGCGAATAGAAGCACCTAACAAGCGAATAGAAGCACCTANGATTTCAGAGAAGTGATTGGTTTCTCTTATCGGGGCATTAAGGTTGGTGCATTGATATTGAGATTTACCTAGTGCAATCCCTTGATGATCACTGAGATTTTAGCACTTTGTCCGATAGCCTTCTTCACGGTTCCCATCGCCATCTTGAAAGGTAGCCGCGCCTTTGCATCGAAGCGAGACAACCGTTGAGTAGCAACGGCGATAGAAACCTTGCACACCACAGACAAGTATTCACAGGTATCGCGTGTCAAGTTTCAGGCGTTTTTAGTAGTATAATAACTACATCCATAGTTCCCTGCGCGATCTTAAAAGGGAGCTCCGCCTTTGAATCGACGTAAGAGACAAGTAAGCTAACAAYCACAGACAACGGCTAGCAAAAACGTCTCATTATTTTCTTCTTTTTAGCATGTATGTCAAACCAAACCATGTATAGAAACAGCCACTTGTAAAGTTGGGATAGGTACCGAACCATACAGATGTGTTTGCCCTGCTGGGTTTCAAGGAGAACATTGCAGAAAAGGTAGGCATGGACCCTTGGCAAGTCATGGCCACATGAT